CCAGGGCAGGGCAAACAGTGTGAGCCAGGTTGCTGGAGTCCCAGGTATGGTGGCTGTCTGCTGCCTCAGGGAAGGGCTCACCAAAGGAACATTGGCCTCTGTTAGCACATCTGTCTGTCCCAGAAAAAGCTGTCTCTCCAGCTCTCGCCCCAGTGCCAAACAACTCAGTTCTTCCCTGTATGTTTTGGTGCCTTTCAAGCTGCCTCCCCCACACTGGAGCCTGGAGGGAGCAGGTCTGAGTAAGTCTGTGTGCAGACCCTTTAAGAGGAACTGCCTGGGGCTCCAGCAGCCTCAACCTCCCTCAGCCTCAATTACAGATGGTTTTTACAGTCAGAAGTTATGAGGACTTCTCTTCCTGGCACTGGAACCCTGAGCTGAGGGGCCTAGTATGGGATGGGGACCCCTCTCTTCTTGGGGAGGACCTTCCCAGCTGAGGTGTCGTCCCTCCTGATTTTTTTTTTTTAATCCTCACCCAAGGATACTTTTTTCCATTTTTATTTTCAGATAGAGTGGGGGAGAGAGAGAAATATTTGATGTGAGAGAGACACATTGATTGATTGCCTCCTGCCGGACTCTGACCAGGGCCAAGGACTGAACCGAAACTGAGGTACATGCCCTTGACTGGAATTGAACCCGAGACTCCAGTCCATGGGCTGACAGTCCGTCCACCGCTGAGGCAAACTGGCCTGGCCCCTCCTGATTTTTATCCTCCACACGTGAATGCGGGACCAGTCCATCTGCCCCTCCACCCCTCCACCCCTCCACCCCTCCACCCCTCCACCCCTCCTACCAGTCTCGATGTGGCCTCTTTAATTTTGTAGTTGTAGGACTTCCATTCAGCTTGATGTCAAGCAGTTCTGAATGATGGTGGTTCTGTAGTTTAGTTGTAATTTTGATGTGGTTGTGGGAGGAGGTGAATACTGCATTTCTTTATTATAATTTTAATTTGTCCTCAGCTATAGCCTCATTTCTCACACTCAACCTAAACTCAGCCTCCAGGTTAGAACTTGCTTTTTGTTTATTAATAATCTGCCAAGGCCCTGGCCAGTTTGGCTCAGTGGTTGGAGCATCGGCCTGCGGACCAGAGAGTCCCAGGTTTGGTTCCCGCAAGGGGCACGTACCAAAAAAATAAAAATAAAAAATAAGAAAAATCTGCCAAGAACTTGTTGAATTCTTCTCAATTACTGATAAATGTATTTCATGGCCTCGCCCACAACCTGCCCACTTCTGTGGCACTATGAAATTTACATTTCTGTACTTTATTTTTGTGGCATGCCAGGAAAACACACTAGTTCAATAAACCAGCCTGAATCAAAAGCAGGGAAATCTTTTACTTAAAACCACTTCATTTAGATGCCTTTACAGAAGGGGAAAACAGTTATAATATCATGTTTGTTTGTTTTTTCTTTCTTTTTTTTGTGTGTGCTATGTGCCCCTAGTGGGAACCGAAGAACCTGGGACTCTCTGGTCTGCAGGCAGACGCTCAACTGCTGAGCCAAACTGGCCAGGGCTTTGTGTACTTTCTAAATTATATTGAGAACAGCAAACATTAGAGCAGTGAGTTTATAGCTAGTTGTGTGAAGAAAAGTATTTAGGCAATCATTTTTATTTTGTGCATTTCATTGCCCTCTGAAAAGAATCACATCAACTAGCAATACTCATCTCACGTATAATAAAACAACAAAGTTGATGATTGTCCTGATTTTATTTATGTTGCTAACTCACCCTATCTTTTTCTTTAATACAGATAAATTAAACATGTTATTCCTTGCAGTAAAAGGGGTCTGCTTCAGTACTGTAGATCTGCATGATTTTTGCCAGGGGGGCACTTAGTCACTCATTTGGCTTGTTGTACTATTTTGATTCACATACACTGAATGGAATCTTACCTCTGTGTTTGATTAAGCTGAACTTCGTGGGAGCTATGGCATATTGAGTGATTTTTTTGGTTCTCTCTCTGCCCACTAGATAAAATTAATAATCACAGAACCAAGGTAAACACAGTAATCATCACAGGAGTCAGCCAAATTTTTCATAAAGGACCAGAGTGCATTTTTTCAACTTTGTGAGCCAGATTGTCTCTGCCACAACTAAGCAGCCGTAGTTTATATATAGGTGATGAATGCATGGGTGTGATTGTGTTCCAGCAAAACTTTATTTACAAAAACAGGAGGCCAGGCCAATGTTTACCAATTCCTGACCAGAAGTTCTGTTTATAAGGTTTTTTTTATGGTATTAGTGGAAAAGTGCTCTTTCTTGAGGATGTGGAGATGAAGAACTTGGTGGCCTGAAGACTATTGGATGGGTTGGTAGTCTTGTCTGGTGTAATGAAGGTCAAATGTACATTGAAGCCATTGTCAGGTTAGGAAACTTTCTGTTTGTCTAGATTCTTTGAGCAGGAGCAAATTCACTTTCTGGATTTACAGCTGATAAACCTTTGTTTGTTTGTTTGTTTATTTATTTATTTTTGTTAATCCTCACCGAAGGATATTTTTTCTTTATTGATTTTAGAGAGAGAGTAAGGGGTAGGGAGGAGAGAGACATCAATTGGTTGCCTCCTGTATGACCCCCATCAGGGCCAGGGAACAAACCTGCAACCCAGGTGCGTGCCCTTGACTGGGAATCGAACCTGTGACCCTCCGGTCTGCTGGCCAACACTCTAATCACTGAGCCAAACCAGCCAGGGCACAATCGGTAAACCTTTTAAGTTGAACCATCTTGTATAGATTATAATAGTGATTCTTTTGTTTTGTTTCTTGTTTGTTTTGAGTTCTCTGCCTCCATCAGTTATTAGAAGTTAGATAAGAGACCAGGTCTAGAAGTGTTCTCTGGAGAAGGATCATTAGCCATTTTAATAATAAACATCTTATCTCTTCTTGTTATCAAAATAGGAGCCCTTTGACACTTGGATTTTTTAATATGTTTTTATTGATTTTTAGAGAGAGAGAAGGGAGAGATAGAAACATTAATTGGCTGCCTCCTGCATGCCCTCTATTGGGGATGGAGCCCACAGTCTGGGCATGTGCCCTGACTAGAATTGAACCTGCAACCTCTTGGTGCATGGGTCGACACTCGACCACTGGGCCACACTGGCTGGGCAACACTTGTATTTAAAAAAAAAAATTTTTTTTTAAATTTTATTTTTGTTACAGATGTTTCTCCTTTTTTCCCCACTGATTCCCCCCCGCCCCCTCCCTGTCCCCAGCTTTGTTGTCCATGTCCATTGGTTATGCATAATGCATATAAGGTCTGTGGTTTATCTCTTCCCACCCCCCACCACCCCCTCTTCTGAGGGTTGTCAGTCTGTACCCTACTTCCGTGTTTCTGGGTCTACCCTATTCCTCAGACTGTTGTGTTCATTATATTCCACAAATAAGTGAGATCATGTGGTATTTGTCTTTTTCTGCTTGGCTTGTTTCACTTAGGATAATACTTTCCAGGTCCCTCCATGTCATCTCAAAGGATAAGAGATCTTTCTTTCTTACAGCTGCATAGTACTCCATTGTGTATATGTATCACAGCTTTTTTATCCATTCGTCTACTGCTGGACACTTAGGCTGTTTCCAGATCTTAGCTATTGTAAACAGTGCTGCTATGAACATGGGGGTACATATATTCTTTCTGATTGGTGTTTCAGGCTTCTTTAAAAAATTTTTAATTGAAATGTATTGTACGTATTGATTAGAATTATAGAGCTGGGTATACCTGTGTAACCAGTACTTGGAAGTTTTTTGTTTTTGTTTTTTTATCCTCACCCGAGGACATTTTTCCATTTTTTGTTCAGGTAAGTGGGAGGGAGAGAGAGGAACAGAGAGAGAGAGAGAAACATCAATGTGAAAGGAACACATCGAGTGGCTGCCACCCGCACAACCGACCAGGGCCAGGGACAAACTGCAACCGAGATACACGCCCTTAGCGGGAACCGAACCCGGGTCTCTCCGGACCGCAGGCCGACGCTCCAACCGCTGAACCAAACCGGCCAGGGCAGTACTTGAAAGTTTTTATACTCAAAGTGCTTTAAGTTGTCTGCTGTGATCACCACAGGCTTCCACGGTCAGCTGCCAGCCCTGGGCTTCCGCTACAGTGGGTACCTATGTTTGCAGCTGTCGTCCCAAAACAACTCCAACATCAGTTAGGAAAGGATTTCTGAAAGTAAAGTTAACCTGATTAAAGAAAACTGGGCAGTTCTTTCTTCCTTGTCATCGTGGCTGCCACCTCTTCTGCCACCAACGCTGTGAATTATGGGGAAAAGACGGCTTTGGTAGCTATGGTATATCTTAGTGCAGTGGATTTTTAATTGGGCCATTACCATTTACTTTTATGAAATCATGAGTTACTGAATTAAACCATTTAAAAGTATAGTCAGTGCCAAGGGAGAAATAAAATGTGAACTATAATGCTGTAATTTTTTTATATCAGGTTGTTAGGATTTGGGGGTTTTACTCTTTTAATTTAGCAAATTACATAGAGTGTACAAATTCAGAATCTTCCCGTAAATTATCTTTTTCTTTTTCCCTCACCTGAGGACATTTTTGCATTTATCTTCAGATAGAGCAGGAGGGAGAGAGGTGGGAAGAGAGAGAGAGAAACAGCGATGTGAGAGAGACACATCGAGTGGTTGCCACCCACATGACCCATCCAGGGCCGGGGACAAACTGCAACCGAGGTACTTGCCCTTAGCGGGAACTGAACCTGGGACTCTCTGGTCCGCAGGGCGACGCTCTAACCGCTGAGCCAAACCACCAGGGCTCAAATTATCTTTAAAGATAGCTATGTTGTGCTGGTTTTTGGTTTTATGTTTTTTGTTGATTGTTTTTGTTTTTTTAATTCTGGAAAATTTCAAATACACAAGAGTGGAAATAATAGCATATGAACCCTCATGTACCCATCACTCAACCTCAGCAATGATCAATTTATGGCTAGTCATTGTTTCTTCTTTATAAACACATTGTTTTGAATCATGCCAGGTTTTTAAAATTATAAATTTAATCTTTACTTAGTTTAGGCACTTTGGAAACTCTGCAACATCAGTGAAGAATTTGCTACGTAGAAAATCAAGAAGTAAGGACTATGATGTATTCAGTGATAATGATATCTGTAATCAGGATTCTGAAGATAATTTTGCTAAAGAGCTTCAGAAGTATATACAAGCCAAAGAAATGGCAAATGCTGCTCAATCCTTACCGTCTCCTGAAGAATCCATGAAGAAGGAGGAAGCCAAGTGTACACAGAAAGGTAAAGGTCAAACTACTTTATCATTTAAATAGTTTTATCTAGAGGAGATTCACAGTTGTCCATGAATGGGGGGTGGTTCTCCTGCACTTTATGATAAGATCATGGTTTTTATGGATCTTTACACCAGATATGAGGTTGAATGGCCTGAGATCCCCGCCAAGACCTGTCCAGTCAGTATACAATGCTCAGTTTGCGGGAGGAGCTGAGAATTCAGGAAGATTATCCAAGGCCATGACTACTTTGAAAGGGAGAATGCTGCCCTGGCCAGTTTGGCTCAGCGGTTAGAGCGTCGGCCTGCGGTCCGGAGAGACCCGGGTTCGGTTCCCGCTAAGGGCACGTACTTCGGTTGCAGTTTGTCCCCAGCCCTGGTTGGTCGTGCGGGTGGCAGCCACTCGATGTGTCCTTTCACGTCGATGTTTCTCTCTCTCTCTCTCCCTCCTTCCTCTCTCTCCCTCCCACTCTATCTGTACAAAAAATGGAAAAATATCCTCGGGTAAGGATAAAAAAAAAAAAAAAGAAAGGGAGAATGCTAAATCCCATCGTCTGCATGTATAAAGGACAAGATATGCCTATTTATATTGCTGTCATCTGAAGATGAATTGACTTAATGTCAGGGATGGTGGTGTGTCAGACTAAACAGACATATATTTTTTTTTCCTCACCTGAGGACATTTTTCCATTTTTTGTTCAGATAGAGTGGGAGGGAGAGAGAAAGAGAGAAACATCGACGTGAAAGGGACACATCGAGTGGCTGCCACCCACACAACCCAACCAGGGCCGGGGACAAACTGCAACCGAGGTACATGCCCTTAGAGGGAACTGAACTCAGGTCTCTCTGGACCGCAGGCCAGTGCTCTAACCGCTGGGCCAAACTGGCGAGGGCTAGACATATTCTTTTAGATATCTTAGTCTCAGGTGTCCAGCGTAGTGATTGGACAGTTATATAACTTACAAAGTGAGTTATATAAATAAGTCTAGTACTCATCTGACACCATACATAGTTATTACAGTATAATTGTATAAATGAAATTCTTAATTTTCATTTACTACCTCCCCCCCCTTAAATGTTTTTCTATTTAAAATGGGTCATAGATACATTTAGTCTATTTGAAATGTGTTCAGCGAAAAGTCCAGTAGTAGTATGCAGTCGGTTTGAACATTTGAAGTTTTACCGTTATAGTGCTATGGCAGTTCCTAATTAGATCCATCATACCCTGAACACTTCAGAAGGATCCTATTTATGGCTAGCAAGACTGATTTCAGTAATTAGCTTGCTTTTTTTTCTGACAATACTGTACACAGTTTCACAGAGAATGAAATTGGTATCCAGAATGTATTGATTCTCTCTTTGGTCTCTCAACCCCACAGCTTCTAGAAGACAGATCAGCATCATGCCCGTTTCACTCATTGAGCAGAACTTGGGGATTATTATAGAGTGTACTTTTTGAGAGTAAACTGCTATTGTACTTTTATGGCATCATGAAAATTAATTTTCTGTTTTTAGCTGTGAAACAAAAAAATAACCTTAAAGCTGCCCGCAAGAATGGTAAACAGAAGAAAATGAAGCGGAAATGGCCTGGCACTGCAGACAAGGGATCAAAGGCATCACTGAGGAACAGCGGCTCACAGGAACAGGTACAAGAACGATTCTGTCTTACCCTTCGTGACAAGCCACAAAGTGAGAATTGCCAGCAGTAAAATGTTCTCTGACTGCGGTGGGCTGCACGTTCCCTCTCATGCAGGAGCTGCCAGCACCCACTCTAAGCTTTCGTGTTGTACCTGTTGCCTCAAATACATGCACACGAGCCCCTTGATATTGGAGTATTGTGCTGTCAGTGTCTATGGAAAAACAGACTGGGTAGCAGGGAGAAAATACAATAATCATGAGCACATTTCAAAGCCACAGAGTCTTACGAAGTTTCTACTATTGCAGTCCCTGGTCTACTGGTTCTTGACTCGCTCTGGAAAATTAAAAATGAATGTATCTGCACATTGGCCTTACCGTCCACTCCCTACCCTCCTTGTAGTTTGATTTTGCTTGTTGTTCCTTTCCCTTGGTCTGTACATGTAATCAGAGTGGGACAATAAGTAACTCCCCAGACTCTTCTTTTCTGAGAGCTTCTAAACTGGCGGCAACCATCTTATTAGGTTTGGCCATGGGGACAAGTGGTAAAATACTAGAAATACCAAATATTATAGATTGAAATATATTTATGTAAAATCTTGCTCTGCCCCCATATTTTACAAATGAAGAATCAGGCCCAAGGGTTCAGGTGACTGCCCATGGTCACACAGGGCCGGGCCAGCGCTGGGACCTTGTGTCTTGACCCCCCCACCATCAGTTTTCCCTTTCATTTGGTTTATATTGACTTAAAAGTTTATTCAGCCAAAGCTGATAGCTCTTCTACATCTCTTCTACATGAAGAACAAATCTAAATATGTATGTTACAATTTAATAACATAACCAAATAAAACCAAAGATTTAAACTGACATATTTATAAGACATACTTGATAGTGCTAAGTGGAACTATGACATTACTATGAAGCAGACATAAATATACGGTTAGCTCTCTTCTTTGCACATACTATATTTCTTAAACTATTCAGAAATTTGGTGTGCTGAAGCTAGAAGTTATATTACAAGTTAATATGCTAACAGCAGTTAATGCTTCTAAAGAGCTAAAATGGCCCTGGCTGGTGTGGCTTAGTGATTAGAGTATCAGCCCCTGCACTGAGGGTCTTGGGTTCAGTTCCTGATCAAGGGCACATACCTGGGTCAGGTTTGATCCCCCGCCCCGTCAGGACACGTGAAGGAGGCAACCAGTCTATGTGTGTATCTCACACTGATGTGTTTCTCTCTCTCCCCTGCCTCCCTCCCTTCTCTTCCGCTCCCTAAAAATCAATAGAAAAAATATCCTCAGGTAAGGATTAACAACAACAAAAATAAATAAAATCAAGAGCTAAAATGTATTATGAAAATCCCCCTTTTGTTTTTATACCTTGATCATCATCTTTGAGGGTGTAGTTCTACTTACATTTGTTCTTTTTTTTTTTAATTCTTTTTTCTTTATTGATTTTAGAGAGAGAGGATGGGAGGAGAGAGAGATAGGAACATCGATGAGAGAGAACACCAATTGGCCCCCTCCTGCATGCCCCCCACTGGGGATTTGGCCCACAACCTGGGCATGTGCCCTGACCGAAATCGACCCCCTGACCTCTTGGTGCATGGTTGATGCTCAACCACTGAGCCACACCAGCCAGGCTATTCTTTTCTTTAAATCCTCACCTGAGGACATGCTTAGAGAGAGGAGGGAGTGAGGGAGGAAGGGGAAGAGAGAGAGCGAGAGAAAGAAACAAAGATCCATCAGTTGACTTCCTAAAGCTCCCTGACTGGGGATCAAACTCTCAACCCAGGTATGTGCTCTGACCCAGAATTAAACTGACAACCTTTTGGTGCATGGGATGATGCTCAACCAACTGAGCCACTCTGACGAGGCTACATTTATTCATTGAGCTGGTTAGTATACTGAGCTGACACCCAGAGAGCATCTCACTGAAATGAAATGTTACACTGCTTTCAGTACTTATGATTTCCAGTTTGTCTCCATTGTGCTAAAGAGCCTTGTTCTTATACTGTACTTTGCTTTTTATCACAAGTAGTAACACTTTTATTTTTTTATTCATTTGAAGGGCAAAGTACATTTAAATATTTAAATTTTATAAATACTAATGACCAATGCTGGAATGCTGTTGAAACTGACAAAGCATTCATTTTTCAACCGGTGTACAACAGTCCAAATATTATCCATGAAGGTTAGTTTAGAAGAGTCACTTTTTAATGTTTTATAGGGGGTTTAAAATAATTTCGTGCAATGGAATAAAATATTTAATTTTCTGTTTTTCACATTTAGTCTTTTGGTTTTGTTTCCAAAGGGTGGTAAACCTCAAGAGAGGCAGCAGCACATGCGAATGAGTCAAGGGTTCATCAACCAACACACAGTGGAACGCAAGGGAAAACCTGTTTGTAAATATTTCCTTGAAAGGAAATGTATTAAGGTACAAAATATGTGTAAACAGAAATACACTAAAATGGAAGATGTAGCAAAAATGTACTAAAACCAACTCCTTTTTCCACTAAATGCTCTAAAAGCATACCTGTTTCCTCCTGGAAAGGCTCACTTAGAAAATTTTACTAAAATACTCCTTTAGGGTTAAGAAATGTGTGTGTGTGTGTGTGTGTATAATCCTCACCCGAGGACATTTTTGCATTTATCTTCAGATAGAGCAGGAAGGAGAGAGGGAGGAAGAAAGAGAGAGAGAAACATTGATGTGAGAGAGACGCATTGAGTGGTTGCCACCCATACGACCAACCAGGGCCGGGGACAAACTGCAACCGAGGTACATGCCCTTAGCGGGAACTGAACCCGGGACTCTCTGGTTCGCAGGCTGACGCTCTAACCCAGTGGTTCTCAACCTTCCTAATGCTGCAACCCTTTAATACAGTTCCTCATGTTGTGGTGACCCCCAACCATAAAATTATTTTCGTTGCTACTTCATAACTAATTTTGCTACTGTTATGAATTGCCATCAGAAATATGTGTTTTCCAGTGGTCTTAGAGGACCCCTATGAAAAGGTCGTTCAACCCCCAAAGGGGTCATGACCCACAGGTTGAGAACCGCTGCTAATCGCTGTGCCAAACTGGCCAGGGCTAAGAAATAAAATTTTTTAAAAATGTTTAGGACTTAATGTATTAAGTAATTAATGTGATATCATAAGATACTCATTAAGAATTAGACTGTAAAGTTTCCTAGGCTGTGTTTTTTGTTTTTTGGAATTATTTGTTTAGTAAGAATGGTAATGACTTAACTGTGAGAAGTAATAGCTTTTCCTTGTTTCTTTTTTTGGCCTAGGGAGACGAATGTAAGTTCGATCATGATGCAGAGATAGAGAAGAAAAAGGAAATGTGCAAGTTTTATGTACAAGGATATTGTACCAGAGGTGAAAACTGTCTTTTTCTGCATAATATCCTTTATCACAAGATATTATAACTTTACTGTTCTTTTTTTTTTCCTCACCCGAGGACATTTTTTCATTTTTTGTTCAGGTAGAGTGGGAGGGAGAGAGAGGAACAGAGAGAGAGAGAGAGAGAAACATCGATGTGAAAGGAACACATCGAGTGGCTGCCACCTGCACAACCGACCAGGGCTGGGGACAAACTGCAACCGAGGTACGCGCCCTTAGTGGGAACCGAACCCGGGTCTCAGGACCGCAGGCCGACACTCTAACCGCTGAGCCAAACTGGCCAGGGCTATAACTTTACTTTTCATAAATGCTTACACAAACATTTTAAATATGTATGCTTTTGAAGAAAACCATTTTAGCTATGGCAAAATTATATCATCTAAGCCCAACTCAGTATTGAAATGATTCAATTGTACACAGATTTTATTTTCTCCTGTAAGAAAAGAGGAATTTCTTAGAAATTCTCTCAGATGAAGTATAGCAGGTTCATGAGATCTGTTCAGGTCCCAGAAAGACACTGTCAGAATTTCTGCTGTGACATTCACTGATTGAATCTGTATTCATGGAAGCTCCTTCATAGGAAGAGGCAGGGACTGCATAATTTGGGATGCGTGTTTTCTGTATATTCTGTACTCTAGAGGTTAGCTGCCCCTTAATTTGAAGAATAACCCTTACTTCAGTGCACAGGTACAGACATGTTGTAAAAACATGGAAAAAGAACATTTTTAGGGTAACAGCACCTTTGGTCACTTCAGTCATTCTAGTATAAGACCTCTCAAATTCTAACTTAAGATTCTTTTCCTAGGAGACAGTGTTGACATTGTATACATTGATCCTATTACACGAAGGATCCAGATTTGTTAAGACATATTGTCATTGACTTTAATTCCTCTACCCCAAAAGAATGTTTTAAAAATACTCACACTTCTCAAGGTATTTAAAATACACATCTCTTTCTCATATCAGTGAAACATATCTGTAGTCTACTATAAGAATGGATATGAAGGCAGAACGTGTCCTGTGATAGCCAATAAACTTGATTTATATAATCATCCTAAAATTAAAACTTTTTTCCATATGACTCAATAATTGTCATAAGTGGGGAATTTTTTTTTTTTATGAATTTTTTATTTATTTTTTTGTTACAGGTATTTTACCTTTTTACCCCATTGGCACCCCCCACCCCAACCCACCTCCGCCCCTGTCCCCGGCTTAGTTGTCCATGTCCATTGGTCATGCATACATGCATATAAGTTCTGTGGTTTATCTCTTCCCACCCCCCCACCCCCTCACCCCCTCACCCCCTCTTCTGAGGGATGTCAGTCTGTGCCCTACTTCCATGTTTCTGGGTCTACCGTATTCCTCAGACTGTTATGTTCATTATATTCCGTATATAAGTGAGATCATGTGGTATTTGTCTTTTTCTGCTTGGCTTATTTCACTTAGGATAATACTTTCCAGGTCCTTCCATGTCATCTCAAAGGATAAGAGATCTTTCTTTCTTACAGCTGCATAGTGCTCCATTGTGTATATGTACCACAGCTTTTTTATCCATTCGTCTACTGCTGGACACTTGGGCTGTTTCCAGATCTTAGCTATTGTAAATAGTGCTGCTATGAACATGGGGGTACATATATTCTTTCTGATTGGTGTTTCAGGCTTCTTAGGGTATATTCCCAGCAGTGGGATCACTGGGTCAAATGGAAGTTCAATTTTTAATTTTTTGAGGTAGCACCATATTGTTTTCCATAGCGGCTGCACCAGTCTGCATTCCCACCAGCAGTGTATTAGAGTCCCCTTTTCTCCACACCCTCGCCAACACTTGTTGTTTAATGATTTGTTGATGGCAGCCATTCTGATAGGTGTGAGGTGATACCTCATTGTTGTTTTAATTTGCATCTCTCTGATGATTAATGATGTTGAGCATTTCTTCATATGTCTTTTGGCCATTTGTATGTCCTGTTTGGACTGGTGTCTATTCAGCTCCTCTGTCCATTTTTTAATTGGGTTCTTTGTCTTCCTTTTGTTGAGTTCTATGAGCACTCTATATATATTGGAAATTAACCCCTTATCTGATACATCATTGGCAGTGATGTTCTCCCATACAGTGGGTTGCCTTTACATTTTGATGATTGTTTCTTTTGCTGTGCAGAAGCTTTTTAGTTTGATGTAGTCCCATGTGTTCATTTTCTCCTTTATTTCTGTTGCCTTAGGTGATGTATCAGTGAAAATTCTGCTCCGTATGATGTCCGAAATTTTGTTGCCTACATTTTGTTCTAGAATTTTTATGGATTCACGGGTCACATTTAAGTCTTTTATCCATTTTGAGTTTATTTTTGTGTATGGTGTAAGTTGATGGTCTAGTTTCATTTTTTTGCATGTAGCTGTCCAATTTTCCCAACACCATTTATTAAAGAGGCTGTCTTTACTCCACTGTATGCTCTTGCCACCTTTGTCAAATATTAATTGAGCGTATTGCCTTGGGTCCATTTCTGGGTTTTCAGTTCTGTTCCACTGGTCTATATGCCTGTTCTTGTGCCAGTACCAGGCTGTTTTGGTTACAGTCGCTTTGTAGTATAACCTGAAATCTGGTATTGTGATCCCACCTACTTTGTTCTTGTTTTTTCAAGATTGCTGTGGCTATTCGGGGTCTTTTTTGGTTCCATATGAACTTTTGAAGTATTTGTTCTAGTTCTATGAAATATGTCGTTGGTATTTTGATGGGGATTGCATTGAATCTATAGATTGCTTTGGGTAGTATGGACATTTTAATGATGTTAATTCTTCCAATCCATGAACAGGGTATGTGCTTCCACTTTTTTATATCTTCCTCTATTTCTTTTTTCAATGACCTGTAGTTTTCTGCAAATAGGTCCTTTACTTCTTTGGTTAAGTTTATTCCTAGGTATCGTAATTTTTTTGGCACGATGGTAAATGGGATTGTTTTTTCAGTTTCTCTTTCTGTGAGTTCATCATTGGTTTACAAGAATGCCGTCGATTTCTTGACGTTAATTTTGTATCCTGCTACTTTGCCAAGTTCATTTATTAAGTCTAGTAGATTTTTGATGGAGTCTTTAGGGTTTTCTATATATAGTATCATGTCATCTGCAAATAATGACAGTTTCACTTCCTCCTTTCCAATTTGGATCCCTTTTATTTTTTCTTCCTGTCTGATTGCTGTGGCTAAGACTTCCAGTACAATGTTAAATAAGAGTGGCGAAAGTGGACATCCCTGTCTTGTTCCTGTTCTTAATGGAAATGTTTTTAGTTTCTGTCCATTGAGTATGATGTTGGCTGTAGGTCTTTCATATATGGCCTTTATTATGTCGAGATATGATCCCTCTATTCCTACATTGCTGAGCGTTTTTATCAGAAATGGATGCTGGATTTTGTCAAATGCTTTTTCAGCATCTATTGATATGATCATGTGGTTTTTATTCTTCATTTTGTTTATGTGGTGTATCACGTTTATTGATTTGCGAATATTGTACCAGCCTTGCATCCCTGGAATGAATCCCACTTGGTCATGGTGAATAATTTTTTTGATGTATTTCTGGATCCGATTTGCTAATATTTTGTTCAGGATTTTGGCATCTATGTTCATCAGGGATATTGGCCTGTAGTTTTCTTTCTTCGTAGTGTCTTTTTCTGGTTTTGGAATTAGAATTATGCTGACCTCATAGAACGTGTTTGGAAGTCTTCCTTCTTCTTGAATTTTTTGAAATAGTTTGAGGAGAATGGGTGTTAGTTCTTTTTTGAATGTTCGGTAAAACTCCCCCGTGAAGCCATCTGGGCCTGGGCTTTTGTTTGCTGGGAGAGTCTTGATTTCCTCTTCAATTTCCTTAGTTGTTATTGGTCTGTTCAAGTTTTCTATCTCTTCCGGGTCTAGTTTTGGGAGACTGTGTGTTTCTAGAAATTTGTCCATTTCGCTTAGATTGTCGAATCTGTTGCCATATAGTTGTTCATAGTAGTTGTTAACGATCTTTTGTATTTCCGTGGTGTTGGTTGTTACTTCTCTTTCATTTCTGATTTTGTGTATTTGGGTTCTCTCTCTTTGTTTCTTGGTGAGTCCAGGTAAGGGTCCATCAATCTTGTTTATCTTTTCGAAAAACCAGCTCTTTGTTTCATTGATCCTTTGAATTGTTTTTTTGGTCTCTATGTCATTTATTTCTGCTCTGATCTTTACTATTTCCTTCCTTCTACTCGCTCTGGGGTTTTCTTTTTGTTTGGTTTCTAATTCTTTAAGTTGTGAGGTTAGACAGTCAATTAGAAATTTTTCTTGTTTTTTGAGGTAGGCCTGTAGTGCTATGAACTTCCCTCTCAGAACTCCTTTCGCTGCATCCCATAGATTTTGTGTTGTTGTGTGTTCATTTTCATTGGTTTCCAGGAAGTTTTTAATTTCTTCCTTGATCTCCTCGGTGACCCATTCATTGTTTAATAACATGCTGTTTAGCTTCCATGTGTTGAAATGTCTTTGCATGTTCTTGTTGCAATTGATTTCTAGTTTCATGCCATTGTGATCTGAGAAGATGCTTGATATGATTTCAATCTTCTTGAACTTGTAGAGATTTAGTTTGTGTCCTATCATGTGGTCTATCTTTGAGAATGTCCCATGTGCACTTGAGAAGAATGTGTATTCTGTAGTTTTGGGGTGTAATTCTCTGTAGATATCTATTAAATCCATTTGGTCTAGTGCTTCATTTAGAGTCTCTGTTTCCTTGCTAATGTTTTGCCTAGAGGATCTATCCAGTGCTGTCAACGGGGTGTGGAAGTCCCCTGCTATAATTGTATTGTTGTCAATTTCTCCTTGGAAGTCCTCCAGAAGATTTTTAATATATTTTGGTGCTCCTATATTGGGTGCATATATGTTTATCAAGGTTATATCTTCCTGTTGGATAGATCCTTTCAATATTATGTAGTGGCCGTCTTTGTCTCTAGTTATAGTCTTCATTTTGAAATCTATTTTATCCGATATGAGAATTGCTACCCCAGCTTTTTTTTGCTTTCCATTTGCTTGGAAAATTTTTTTCCATCCCTTCACTTTCAACCTAGGTGAGTGTTTTGTTGAGAGGTGGGTCTCTTGTAAACAACATATGGATGAGTCATGCTTTCTTATCCAATCAGCTACTCTGTGTCTTTTTATGGGAGCATTCAATCCATTTACGTTTAAGGTGATTATTGATATGTACTTATTTATTGCCATTTTTGTTTAGTGTGGTTCTATTTTTCTTCCCATTTCTACTGCTAATTACAGCAGTCCTTTTAACATTTCTTGCAGTGCTGGTTTGGTGCTAATGTATTCCCTTAGCCTTTTTTTGTCTGGGAAGCTCTTTATTTGATCTTCTATTTTGAATGATAGCCTTGCTGGGTAGAGTAGTCTTGGATTCAGATTCTTGTTTTTCATGACTTTGATTACTTCATGCCATTCTCTTCTGGCCTGTAGTGTTTCTTGTGAGAAGTCAGCTGAGAGCCTTATGGGGTTCCCTTTGTAGGTAACCTGTTGCTTATCTCTTGCTGCTTTTAGGATTCTCTCTTTGTCTTTAATTTGTGGCATTGTAATTACTATGTGTCTTGGTGTGGGCCTGTTTGGGTTCTTCTTACTTGGGACTCTCTGTGCTTCTTGAACTTGAATGCCTTCTTCCTTCACCAAATTAGGGAAGTTTTCTCTCACTATTTTTTTGAATATATTCTCTATCCCTTGCTCATTTTCTTCTTCGGGGACTCCTATGATGCGAATATTATTACGTTTCCAGTTGTCCCATAGTTCTCTTAAGCTGTCTTCCTGTTTTTTAATAGTTTTTTCCTTTTGTTTTTCTGATTGGTTGATTTTTTCTATCCTGTCTTGTAATTCACTGATCCGGTACTCAGCTTCCTCTACTCTGCTTTTTAAACCTTCCAATGTGTTTTTCATTTCTGATATATCATTTTTTATCTCTTCTTGTTGGTTTTTAATTTCCAATTGGCTTATTTTCAGTGTCTCTATGTCCTTACTCATGCTGTTCAGCTTCCTCAAGATCATGGCTCTGAATTCTAGCTCTGTTAACATGCCTAATTGCTCCACATTGATCTCATCTTCGGTGGAGGTCTCTTGCTCTTTCATTTGGCTTCTGTTTCTGTGTTTCACCATTTTGGCTATCACGGCTTTGGAGCCTGTCAAGTTCTCCCTGTGGGTGTTGGTGTTCTGCTGTTTGTGGCTCCCTCTCCTGTGTTTAGATGAGCGAGGGAGGACCCACGTTGAACACCACTGTCAAGTCTTACTTTCCTGGTTAAAGTTGCCAGCCCAGGAAAGGTTATACTTTATCTTTTTGCCTGGAGGCTAGCAGTCTAGGTTACTTGAGGAGTTTTGGGTTGTCAGTTGATTGAAAAACTCCCTCAGGTGCTTAGCACAAGGGGATTTCCCGAGGGTGAGGCAGATGCTGGTTGTTAGTGAGCCTCAATTAGCACTTCAATGGCCCACAGGGTGGGGTTGGATCTCCGAGGGAGGGGCTGCTGCCTCTCTCAGAGCCCTGGGAAGGAGCAATGTGGCCACCGTCCTGAGTGGCTGCACTCAGCCAAAGCTCTGAGCGCCCTCCAGATCCCGAGTGTCCCGACACAGTTCCAGTCCAGTCCGCCCTCCCTCTGCCGGAGCCCAAGGTGAGTGGCTGTGGCTGTTTCAGCCTCTGTCCTGGCTCTGCGCTGTGGAGCCGCCTGGGAGTGTGACCCGAGGGCGCTGCTCCCAGCTAAGGCCGGTGGGCTCCGAGCCCCCGTCTCGCGCCTTTGCAAGCCTACCGGGATGGAGTCAGTGTCCCTCGTTGTATGGTCCTCGCAAGCTGCTTTTCTGTTGCTTTTTCCCGTTGATTTGTCTGTGTTATAGTTGTAATTCCAGTTTGGTTCTGGGAGACGGTCTGTGTAGCTCCGTTCACTCCGCCGCCATTTCGATCCCTTTTAAGTGGGGAATTTTAAATGGGGAACTCAGTGTTTCCACTAGGTGGAAAGGCATTTAAGAAGGAAAAACAAGCCCTGACCGGTTTGGCTCAGCAGTAAGAGCATCCGCCTGCGGACCAAAGAGTCCCGAGTTAACGAACCTCAGTTGCAGATTGTCCCTGGCCCCGGTTGGGGTCATGTGGGTGGCAAACACTCCATGTGTCTCTCTCACATCGATGTTTCTCTCTCTTCCCACCTCTCTCCCCACTCCGCTCTATCTGAAGATAAATACAGAAATGTCCTCGGGTGAGGATTAAAAAAAAAAAAAAGAAGGAAAAACAAAGTCATTAAATGAGTAATAAATTATTTCAGTGGGGTTAAGAATGTTACCTTCCTTAACATTTGGGATACATGAATATCCTTGCAAGTTTTACCACACAGGAACAAAATGTTATCAGGGCGAGTACTGCAAGTTTTCCCATGCACCTCTGACTGCCGAAACACAGGAACTGCTGGCTAAAGTAAGTACGCTTTTAGTCATCTTTGGTTTTGTTTTTTAAGAATATGTTTGAACTAAGGGAGAGAATTTGAAAAGCTACTGTTCTTGAAGGAAAAGGCCTCATAGTTTAGCATATGGCATATATTAGGACTGATAATCTAAGAATTTACTTCAGTTTAGAATATTATTACTTATTTTCATATTTTTCCTTGTAGCTTTAAGGGAATTTACATTTATTGCTGGTATACATTCAAGAGTTCTTAAAACCTTCAATGCGATTAGAAATGTTAATAGCTAAGCTAAAAAAAGGAAATAGCAAATAGGAGAAAGTTACTCCTGTTATACCCTTAGAAGGAAAATTAAGGACCACTGGTTGATAAACAGTTCAGATTTACATCACAGAATACTCTAGTTATTTCACAGTGTTTTCTCCAAATATTCTTTTAGTCTGGAAGAAAGGATAGTTGAAAAATAATAGACATTTATATTCTATCCTTTCCCATATGTTATTTGGAGCAAGTTTCTCCAAAATTAAACTGAAATATAAGCGAAAATCAAAGACTCTTTTAAAAGCAAGCCATACAATATTGTGGCAAAAGTTTTTTTGAGCACATGCATATGTTAGAAAGTCAAAAATTCTTATTTCTAGATATTTTTAGGTTGTAAAACATGAAGGGTTACTCTAGAATTAGAAGTCATACCAAATATTTGGTTGTTTATTAGTATGAAATATATATGTAAAAATGACATGTCAAATTTTTTTTCATTTTCTCTTATAGTCAATATTTTTAGATGATTACTAGGATGACTAATTTTGGGATCATGAGAAAAATTATGAGTATTATGATATATATGATAATGCATAAAAACAATTATGTGCTTTTTTTTCATATTAGGTTTTGGATACTGAAAAGAAGTCATAAAAATCAGATACATTAAAAAAGGTAAAATTAGGATTTAGCACTTTTTTTTTTCTAAAACATTTCTAGAAGTTGGCATGGAAACAGGGCATTTTCCATTTTCAAAAATAGAAGTCACTTTCTCCTCCCCCACTAAAAATATTTGGTACCTATGCATAGATATATATTGTGGATCTCCATAGATCTGCTTCACTATCTTTTATGGTTTTGTTCTCCTCCTTTGTTTCTTTGTAAATTTACCAAAAGTACATGATTCACTAAATAGTATATTTAATTGTGCTTGTGTTTGGATTTTATTTAAGTAGTAACATACTCTGTATTAATTGGTGACTTGCTGTTTTCACTCAGCTTTATCCTTCAGAGATTTATGTAGATGCACGCAGCTGTTATTCATTTTTATTCCTTTATAGCATTTCAGTCATTAACTATGTTATAGTTTATTTAGTTATTCTATTGATGGACACTGAGGTTATTTTCAATTTTTTAAATACAAACTGTTGCTACAAATAATGTTCTTGTCTCCTGATATACATGTGTGTGCGTTACACTGGGTGTGTACCAAGGAGTAGAATTTTTGCATCATTTTAATATTTAAGATGATACCAGTCTTCTGTAAAGTACTTGTAACAGTTTATACTCCCACCAAGTGTGTTAAAGAACTGTCGATCCACTTGCCAATACTTTGTTTTATTAAGACTTTAATTTTTTTACCAATTTAGTAGGTATAAAAAATGGTGTCCCATAGCTTTATTTTCATGAAGTTCAACATAATTTCTTACACTTCACTAGCTTTTAAGTTTCACCTTTGGTGAAATGCCTGTTAATGTCTTTTTTGCTTATGTTTCTATTGGGCTGATTGTCCTCTATAAATTGGTTTTATATATTCCTGATAGAATCTTTTGTGAGGTATGTATAGCAGGTCTTTTTCCATTTTGTGGGCTGTCTTTTCACTTTTTTTGAGGTGTCTCAATGAGCAGAATTACTTATTTTGACAGTCTTTTTCTTTATGGTACGTTTTATATTTTATTTAAGAAATCCCGATCTAGATATTTTAATATTTTTTTGTTTTACTCTTTACATTTATATTTTAATCTCTTGGAAATTATGTCAATTAACATTTGCCACAATAATGATGTTTAACAAACAACCACAAACTCTCCATACCATGTAAAAATAAAAATTTATTTTTGGTGCATCTTCAGATTGGCTGGGTTGGTTCTACTTCATACAGCAGATCGATTGGGATGGCTGTGCCCACATTTGTCCTCCTGGGACCAGTGGGCTATGTGGGCTTGTTCTTTTCACAGTAGCTCAAGAGGCCTTTTTGCCTCACATTTGCTAACAACCCATTGGCCAAAGTCAATCACATGGTGAAACCTAAAGTCAAGGAGTAGGAAGTACATTCTTCTTTTTGTACTTTCTGTGTGGGAGGAACTGCTAGATTACATGAAAAAGTGTGTGGTTGTGGCTATAGGGAGGAAGGAAGAATTACAACTGATCATTTAGTTTATTTCATGGTAAGGCTGAATAATATTCCATTGTATGTATATACCACATTTTATATATTCATTCATCTGTTGATGGTCACCTGAGTTGCTTTCTTGTTTTAACTATTGTGAATAATGCTGGTATAGACATGGGTATACAAATATCTTTTTGAGACCTTATTTTCAATTCTGAATATATACCCAGAAGTAGAATTGCTACATCATATGATGATTCTATTTTTAATTTTTTGAGGAACCACCATACTGTTTTCCCCAGCAGCTATACCAGTTTACATTCCCACCAACAGTGCATAGGGTTCCAATTTCTGCACATGCTCACCAACACTTATTTTCTGTTGTTGTTGTTTTTGTTTTTGTTCTGTTTTGTTTGTTTTTTGTGAGGTGGTATCTCATAGTTTTGATTTGTATTTCCCTAATGATCAGTGATGTTGACCCTCTTTTCATGTGCTAATTGGCCATTTGCCTATCTTCTTTGGAGAAATAATGTTTGTTGAAGTTCTTTGCCTCCCCCCCCCCCCAAGGATATTTTTCCATTGATTTTCAGATAGAGTGGGACGGAAGTGGGGAAAGAGAGACAGAGACAGAGACATAGACATCGATTGGTTGCCTCCAACCAGGACTGGGAATTGAATCACAACCGAGGTATGTGCCCTTGACTGGAATTGAACCCCCAACTCTTTGTTCCGCAACTCTTTGGACCACTGAGCGAAACTGGCCAGGGCTTTTTGCCCATTTTTGATTTGAGTGTTTTTGGTTTTTTTTTTATAGCTAAGTGTTAGGAATTCTGTGCATATTCTGGATATTAACCATCTATGATATATATAATTTGTGAATATATTCTACCATTCTGTGGGTTGCCTTCTTGCTCTGTGGATAGTGTCCTTTGATGTACAGATTTTAAATTTTTTATGAAGTCCAATTTGATTATTTTTATTTTTTGTGCCTTTGGTGTCATATTCAAGAAATCACTGCCAAATCCAATGTTGTGACGCTTTTATCCTATGTTTTCTTATAAGAGTTTTGTAGCTCTAGCTTAACTTATATTTAGGTCTTTGATCCATTTTCTGTTACTTTTGTATATGTTAGGTAAGGGCCCAACTTTATCATTTTGCATGTGGATATCCAGCTTGCCCAGCACCATCTGTTGAAAAGACTGTCCTTTCCCCCATTGAATGATCTTGGCTTCTTGTCAAAATACGTGAGGGTTTATTTCCAGGCTCTGTATTCTATTCCATTGGTCTTTGTTCTTTTTTCAGTTTTGTTTTGGCTAATTGGGGCCCCTTAAGATTAGGATAGATTTCTCTCTTTCTGAAAAAAAAAGTCATTGTGATTTTGATAGGGATTACATTGAATCTGTAGGTCACTGTGTAGTATTGACATCGTAACAAAATTAAGTCTTCCAGTTCATGAACATGGGATGTTTTTCCATTTATTTATGTCTTCTTTAAATTCCTTCAGCAGTGTTTCATAGTTTTCACTGCTTGGTTAATTTCATACAGCAGATCGGTTAATAGTCTTTCACCTTCTTGGTTAATTCATAAGTATTTTAATTCTTTTGAGATACAGTAAATGGAATTGTTTTCTTAATTTCCCTTTTAGATTGTTTGTTGTTAGTGTATAGAAGTACAATAGATTTTCGTTTGTTGACTGTGTATCTTACTACTATGTTGAATTTGTTTATTAGTTCTAACAGTTTTTTGTGGAATCTTTAAGTAAGTTTTCTATATATGAGATCATTGGATGGACATTATACTTAGTAAGAAAGTCAGCATCATACTTAATGGGCAAATAGAAGAGGCATTTCCATTAGAAATGTCCAATGGGACTGTCTAGTTTCTAAAAGTTAAAGAGAGTTCTCTGAAAACAACTGTGCATCAGGTGCCAGTTTCATTCATGAATACCCTTGATGAAGCAGTGAGAAATATTCATGCTATTACATCTCAATTCTTGAGTGCTCATCTTTCAATATTATGTCTAGCAAAATGGGAAGATGTATCAGTATTTACACAGTAAGGGATATTCTGAGGAAGAGCTCTTGTGCTCTGAGTTCAAGCTGAATTAGCTGCATGTTTTGATGAATACTCTTTATTTGAAAGAACAGCTGTGGGGCCAACTGGTTTCTTCAGATGTGGTGGTTTGGCAGGCACGTTCCCACAAATGAATGGAGTGACCCTGTCACTTCAAGGAAAACAACTGAAAATATTTGTTTTCAGTGATAAAATTCAGGCTTTTGAGCAAAAAGGACAATCTCAGAACATTTTATCTGCCCCTGAGCTTGAAAGCTTTTCTGTATTTAAATATTTTTTGGGTGAGGTTGGTTGGCAATATTATAGAACGTGATTTTTAAAATACTGTATAATAGAACATTTGAAAGATCTGCATAAATTAGTAAGCTAACATTTTCCAAATAAACAGTGCTTGACATTACAAAATTATGCAAGGGTAGAACACCCATCCAACCTGCAGCACAGGCTAATGGATTTTCTTGTAACAGTGCAGAAAGTTCCTTGATGTGGTCTCAGATTCTACATTGCAACTGGAAATTCATTTGCATTTATTTATTTATTTACTTTACAGAAAACTTTATTAAAATTTTTTCTAGTACTTTTATTTATTTTTAAATTAAATGTATTGGGGTGACATTGGTTAATACAGTTATATAGATTTCAGCTGTACAGTTCTATAACACATCATCTGTATATTGCATTGTGTGTTTAATATTCAAAGTCAAATCTCCTTCAGTCACCATATATTTGACCCCTGCATTTGCTTTTAATATTCATTTGCCCATCACATTACTTTTAGCTTTTCTGAGTAAGTTATAGGTTTATTTCTTATGTGGAGCATATAGTTGGGTTCTGCTTATGAGCCAAACCAAAGATTCTTTTCTTCTTTTGATAAGTAAATTAATCCATTCACATTTATTTAAATGAATGTTTGCTTTAGCTCCTGTCATTTTATATAGTTTCTGTGTATATTATATATGCATGTTTCCCTCTCCATAGTACTTTTTTCTTTCTTTAATAAATACTACTTTAACTCATTTTTATTCTTCTTTTCCACTCTAGCCCAATAACTCTTATTAACATTTCCATCCAAATCTTTCTTTTTTGATACGCTTTATTTTCTTGTATTATTTCTGAGGTCAGTTGAGTCTTGTTTCATTACTTCTGTTTTGTTCAGTTCTGCCCTTAGTTGTTGAATTTCAGTTCAAGGTGCTTTTTCAGATTCCCAAACAGGAATATTTCATTCAGTTTACATTTTTGTGTTACAGTTTTCTTCTGCATGTTTTTCACGGGGAGAGATTAGGGTAGCTACGTTGGTCATTTTCGCCACTTTGGTGTTTTCTGTTTTCTTCTGTAGCTTCGAATAAATGAAGAGTGCTTATGCCTATGTTCAGGATTATTCAAGACTGGTGATTTGAAGTGCTTTACTAGGTTCCTCATTTAAAGCACCTTCTTGTATCATTAATGGTGACATGCAATTTAAAGAAGTTGGAGGGGCAGAATGGAGTGTGGAAGTGCAGGGGTTGGTCTTCTCCGAGCTGTTCAGCTGTTGGAACAGGAGAGGAGAGAGGTGGCAGAGCTGCCGGCTGGGGGGAAATGTTGCAGGAGGAAATTGCAGAAGTCTGTCTGATTCGTGTAGTTTTCTCACTAAAATAGGAAGCAAGGTTAGGCAGAGGATGGATAAAGAGGTGTAGGATTGAAGAGAGAAAACTTGGGTTTCTCTAGGAAGACATGGGATAATAAGATAGAAGATGGATGTACAGTTAGAACTCTTCATGGCATTAAATACTTGTACAATATTTTTATGGTTTCTCACAATTCTGTTTTATAACTTAAATTATGGTTCTGCGTTTTTTTTCAACCAATTTCTTGTTGTTGGACATTTAAGCTGTTTCCAGTTTCTTACTGTTAAAAGTAAAAGTGGAACAATGTCTCTAGCTATACCATCCCTAAACTTGTAGTTCTGTTAAGTGTTTCATTGTTAAGCTGTAAGAATGGTTATCTTTCTCATTCGTTTGTAAATTGTCAGAGTATACGCTTATGTAAAATGTAAATTTTAGGAGTATTAATGACATTTGTAACATAATATTCAAATACAGAATTTTCCAAGCACAAATAATGAGATTCCAAATACACACTTTTATATAATGGTACTGATTAGTATTAGAAAAATACTGTGGCCCTGGCCTGTCGGCTTAGCGGTTGGAACGTCTGTGGACCAGAGAGTCCCAGGTTCAGTTCCCGTTAGGGGCATGTACCAAAAAAAGAAAAAAGAAAGAGAAATACTGTGAAACTAAAACTGTCATCATCATATTGTTTAATGCTGGGGAAAAACAATAGCCTCACTGACTTGGTGTGTAGAGTACACCAAAGTTAGTGACACTTCTTAGCAAATCTTACTTGAAAGTATGAGTCAGTTATTTGGCTGTAACTTAATCCCACTAAAGCAAGAGAGGAAATGAAGAGGCAGATGTGTCAGTGAAATCTCTTAAATTATGTTAAGTCAACTTAAAGGAGAAACATGCTTTTAAATGTGCTCCGTGCACTTAAAGTTGCTATAGGCTGTGGGTCTCTCAGCTACAGCACTTCCAACCATCTGCCTCCATTTCCACTTTCTTTTCCTTAGAGCAGATTTTCCGGTGTACTGTGTCAGCCATGGCTCCGCTGGGTAGTGCCCTGAATCAGGATCTTACTGTCTGCTGGTTTAAGTTCTCTGTAGTCTCACCATCTCGGCCTACTGAGCTTTCGTTCCCGCTGCCCTTTGCTCCTCTCTGCTCCCCTTGGTTTCCTCCTGTGAACTAAATCTCACTGACCCCCGCAGCTCCAAGCAAGTGTACGTGTAATGAAACCATAGTTAGTGAAAGATTCTGGACTAGAGGAAATACAAGGAAGAAATCTCTGATGGAGAAAAACCATGTTATGTGGCCTGCATGGTTATCAGGGCTGTATTAAATTTATGTCTGATCTGTTTTGGAGCCAAAACAAGGATGAACAAATCATCTATTTACCTTTTATCAGAAAGGTAGGATGTAAAACCATTTCTAATAATAATTGCATAAAAACAGTTCTATGTAGGTCTTCATTATGGAAATCACTGAACAGAATGGACAACATTCTCTTTTCTAAGATTCAGTGTGACAGGTTTCATAAAAGTTTTGCGGTTAGTTACAAAAGCCTCATGACAGTAAAACCTAACTTTCGTCAGTTTGTAAGATAAGTCAAGTATGTAGCCTTTTGGTGTTTTGACTTGATCCAGTTGTAGAACTTAAAGAATTTTTTTTTCCTTATTGATTTTAGAGAGAGGGGAAGGTAAAGGGAGAGAGAGAGAGAAATATCAGTGAGAGAGAACATTGATTGGCCGCCTCCTGCATGCCCCCCACTGGGGATCGGGCCCACAACCTGGGCATGTGCCCTGACCAGGAATCAAACCGGCGACCTCTTGGTGCATGGATCAACGCTCAACCACTGAGCCACACCAGCCGGGCAGAACTTAAGGAATTCTTACAGAGAGATGTTAAGTGACTTGTCCCCTGTCTTCAGAGACTTCCTGACTTCCTGTACAGTGTCTCACTTCACTCACTGGTTTCTGATAACTAGAACCATTGGGAGTGGTTACAGTTATACATTTCTTCCAAAGTTGCTTGTAGAAGTCAAAAGGCTGTGATTTGGCGATCTTGCCTGAATAATAGGGGCCCAGACTGCTGGTTAGAAGTACTAGTACCACCTTGGGGTTTAGTGAGATCAGCATTTCTCAGGGTAAGCACCTGCTGAATGAATGCTAGGATCATATATATGAAATCTTCTTACTACCCATCACAGTTCTATCACAGAGATTATGATAGTAAAATCAGTTCTTACTGTTTACAGATGAGGAAACCACATCTGTAAAAAGGTCTCCCAGCTCACATTCTTAGTTGTGTACATGACACATGTGCTCCCGTTCCTACACGTGTGCTCCCCTTCCTAATGGGATTCCAGGTTTGCTGAGGTGTGCTTCCCTCTTCCATGGCCAGGTCTGTGCTTTGTGCATGGCGGCCCTCACCCCAGCCCTTAGGGTTGTAGCAACAAAGGTCTAGAGTTGTGATTCTTGGCTGTGACTTCACATCGGGATCATTTAGGAAGCTTTGTAAAAGATACTGATGCCGGGGCCCACTCCCAGAATTTCTGATTTGGGCTTGGGGTTCTGGGGTATGGACATGAGATTTTCAGTAGCTTCCAAATGATTCTGGAGCACAGCCAAGGTTGAAAGTCACTGGTGTCAACAAATATTGGAAGTGCCACTCATTTTGCCAGCAGTTGGTTTAGGCTTGAAATAGGAACACATGTCCTCTGGTACACTTCTGGAAAAGTGATCATCTCTTGAGATACACAGGCACAGGCTAGACATTGCCGTGTCTAAATATGACACCCAGAGCGGATGCAGCTGTCTTAGGACTTCAAGGGGAGCTGGCAAACCAGCTGAAGATGACAGGAGAGAGTTGGGAAGAAGCTGGGTGCTTGATAGCCGAGCCATGGAATGCACCAGCCTTAGAGAGAGATCCAGCCTTCAGCCTTATATATACCATGTGAAATTATGTATATGTATATGTATATATGTATTTACTGTTTCAGCTGTTTTGATTTGAGTTCTCTGTTATCTGCAGCCAAAGGCAAGATGATAGATGTGAGCCAAGAATCAAACCTGCGTTCATCTGTCCAAGTCCACGTTTCTGCACCTCAACCCTCCTCACTGCAGGCTGTGTTCACTGTCTCAGCTCCTGTTGACAGCACAGTAAGAAACCAGTGAGAAAGGAGGAAACATGACCGCGGCAAGGAAGGGACATAGTTAGAAGGGTTAAGAGGAAAGGAGAGAATGTGCATGTTTGGTAGGAGGGATAATCTATCTGCCAGCTCACCTCGGAGTGGTGGTGAGTCCTGTGAAATGTGAAACACTCCTTTACATTACTTAAAAATGTGGGGAAAATAAGCATTTTTAGCTATTATATATGTCATTAATTCTGTGGTACGCATTTTCATAGTGAACATCTCAAGATTTGAGTGTCTTATGCAGTTGATAGAATATCACACTTTAATGGCAGTTTATTTTTATTGGTATATAAAACATGGTGGAACTTAGGTTAGTGACATATTTAGATTTGAACATAATTTTAAACTGAAATTATGTATGTATATAGTCAAAAATTTACTGTAAAATAAAATTTGTTATGAAATTTATTTTGGTTTAATTATGAAAACAAAGGGTTTTTTTTTAATGGAAAAAAAAATGGTTTCTGTCTCTTCCCCTTGTTCTGCCCCCTTTATGGTAGGCAGAATTCCTTTTTTAAATTTATTTTCTTTTCTAGAGAACGAGAAGAGGGGGAGAGAGAGAGAACCATGGATTTATTGTTCCACTTATTTTTATGCATTCATTGGTTGATTCTTGTATGTGCCCTGACTAGGGACCAAACCCACAACCTTGGCATATCAGGATGACGCCCCAACCAACTGAGCTACCTGGCCAGGGCTGTGGAAGGCAGAATTCTAAGATGGCTCCCAGGACTCGGCCTGGCGACTTGAACCCCTCCTCTGGGTGGGCATTACTGTGATGGGATGGATTTTACTCCCAGCACTAATTAAGATACATGTCGAAGATAAAGCAGTTTTACCTTTTATATCATTAAGGTCTCCAGTCAGTTGGTTTTGAGTTCATCCAAAGAGAGGTGTTCCTGGGTGGGTCTCCGCTAATCAATGAACCCTTAAAAGAGGCTGGGCCCTTCCTGAAGTCAAAGGTGAGAAGCGTGAGGGAGGTTCTGCTGGCCTTGAAGCTGCCCTGCTGGGAGAGGACTGTGGGAACAGCAGTCTCAGCCACAGGTTACTGAATTCGGCCAACTGCCTGAGGGGACTTGAGAGAGGTGGGCTCATTTCGTATGTTCCCACCGCTGCCCTCAAACCAGCCATTTTCCAAAGGAGCTCAGAATCTTTCTAATTGTGATTAAGTCCTGTCAGATGAAGATGCCTTGAGGATATAGCTTCTCAGTGAATTGTCATGTAGTCAGAAGTGACCGTTCGGGGCTTTGGAGGCGTTCCAGGTCTGCTCCATGGACGGGTGACTCCGGGGGGCCGGCGCTGACAGCTGCTTTGGGGAGGCCGGGGAGGACAGGGAGGCAAGCCGTGGCCCCCGGAGTCACAGAGACTCAGCTGTTTTTCTGGAGTGAATTCTCTTTAAATTCATCTGTTTGAACTTCGTTTCCAGAGTTCTGAGAAAATGGCTTTAGGCTGTCTTGCCAGAGTTCTCCCGTGACATTTGTGAAGTGGTTTTTCGGAAATTCTGAGTCGCCAGTCAAGAAGTGAAAACCTGGCTCACTCTTAAGTATTGTTTGACGTCACAGTACCTTCCTCTTTAAATCTATATCTGCACTTTAGGAGCATTCATTTGTGACCGGTAGGGAGACTGCTGCGTGCTGTCTCCGAGTCCTTGTCCTTCTCAGTCCCCTCTGCTGCCTGGCGTCCAGGAACTCCTCCCCTGGAAAGATGTTCCTCGTTCCCGGACAATTTGGAACCATCACTTGGCCCCATGTTTTTTAAACTACCTTTTTAAGGGGTTCCACAGAGTGGCCTTTTATTTATTTATCATTCACACAAGTCTTAAATAAATATGAGTTTTGTATTCCAGCTGTACTAAAAATTGTTTCCAGTGTATTAGCCTGGATATGTTGCTTGGCGGGTGAATCTGTTACATAACACCGTAGGACGGACTTCAGTCTTGGACTTCCTGAACAGATTTGTGCTTCAGCCCACGTCTGCTGACACACCAGCTCTTTTCAGCTTTCCGTGCCTGCAGACGACAAGCCAACTTAAACTTCCTCCTGCAGCTGAACCCGGCTAGGTAAACCCGGAATCAACAGAAGTGCCCCTTATTTCAGCCAAATGCGCATAAAACAGTCATTTCAGTTCACAGAGAAGGAAAACCTGGTCCCAGTGAATTCCTGATTGTCTCAGGGGCTGAATGCCTGTCCTTGTGTGGCCGTGAAGGGTTCTGTGTTCTCACGAGCCGGGAGGTGAAGGGAGCCGAGGTCGCCGCCCCCACCTTGCCGCCCGGCTGCCAGCCTTTGCAGGCCGTGGGTTCTTTTGGACGCGCCCCACGGCTAGATGTGTACTAGGCAGAGGAAAGAGGGAAATAAATGACCTTGACTTTCTAAGTGGGATGTGCAGGACCCTCCATCTTGGGGGCCAGAAGGCAAGACGGGATGGGGAGACCTGGGAGATACTTGGTCAGGAAGACACTGCTGGTGCCCAGTGACATCTCAGCAAGAACACCGTTGCTCCAAGGAAGCTGTGTGGGGGCTGCGTGCAGGACCGTGAAATGGCCTCCTGGGCTCACCCCAGATTAGCAGGGGCTATTTTCAGAACCCTGCCGGCACATCACAGGATTGGGAAGTGGGGGTTCAGGACAGTAGTCGCCTGTATGTTAGTGTCCTGGGGCTGCTGTAACAGAACCACAGATCGGGATCCTGAAAACAACAGTCTTCTCTCACAGTCTGGAGGCCAGCAGTCTGAGGTCAAGGTGTGGCAGGGCCGGCTCCCTCGGGAGGCTCCAGGGAGGGCCTTCCTGCCCCTTCCGGCTTCTGGTGATTCCTGGCAGTCCTTGGCATTTCCTGGCTGTGACAGCATAACCCAGGCTCTGCCTTCGTCTTCTGCCTGTATGTGTGTCTGGCTCTGCTTGCTTTTTTAATAAGGATACCAGTCATTGGATTAAGGCACACCCTAATCTAGGATGACCTCATTTTAACCTAATTACTTACATCTGCAAAAACCCATTGCCAAGCAAGATCACATTCACAGGTACCAGGTATTAGGACTTGAACATACGTTTGTGGAGGACACAGTTGTGGAGGACACAGTTCAGCCATCAACACAAGGCCTATTCTGCTCCCAAGGCAAGAGGTTGGGACAGAGCTGGGTTTGCCTTTAGGACCTAACAAACACCTCCCATGTCACGGGGACGCCTGCCTCGGCCCTGATACCACTATTCTCACCGGTTTTGCAGTTGCAGGTATCTGGTTTTCTTGTGTTTGCTTTTTCGTTTTTTTGTAAAACTGGTATAAGGAGCTGAGTTCATTCTGCTCCTCAGTTAATAGCATGATTTCACCATCTCTCTTTTTTTTTTTTTTCTGTGTCTACTCTGAGTCACTCAGCATAGTTATGCTGGAGTAACAAACAACCTTAACTCCATGGCTTACAACAACCCAGGATGGTTTTTCACTCATTCTGCTCACATCACGGTCAGCAGCTCCCGGCATCACCCGGGCCCCCGAGCTGAGGGCAGCCTCACCAGAGTGGGGCCAGTCGCCATGCTGGAGGGGAGAGAATGTCGGGGGCGCCCACATCCCAACGGGTCCTCCAGCAGCCTTTCGTCATGGGTGGTGAGCTGCTGCTTACACCAGCCAGCCTGTGGTAGCACTGGTTCCGGTACCATCCTTGCACTTCCAGTTGCAGAACCACATGGGTGCAGTGAGGGCTCCCTGTGCTAGGCCCTGGAGACCTGCACCCCTTCTTAGCCGGGACTCGGCCGCCAGGCCCAGCCACTGGGGGCCGGAAGTGTCGGCCTACCACCTCCCAGAGCGGGGACAGTAGGCGAGATTGGGCCAAATTCACCCACAGCCGCCAGGAACACCACCTGTTTTGCTTGGTGGCTTGTCCGTCACTTTGCCCATGGTTTCCATGAAGAATTTGCACATTGAGGAGGCCCTCACTCCTGCTTTCTGCACACTCGCCTTTCTAATATTGCCTTCCCAGCTGCCTCGGGGACCTGCTCCGTGCAAACTAAAGCCAAATTGTTGGTGGCAACAATGAGTGCCCCCTCCTACCGCACTCACGCTGGCCCTCATGAAGTTGGGGTGCTCAGTCCATAGATGAGCACTGAGCACCTGCCAGGGCAGGTGGGTGCTGTGGCGTCAGCCAGCACACTGATGAGATGCCCAGCTGGTGGCTCTGGGTTCTTCAGTCAGACCAGGGTGCTCCAGGCTACAAACAACAAAACCCACTTACACCATAACCACATTGTCACCTGTAACAGGAAGTCCAGAGGGAAGGTGCCAGGCAGATTCCACATGGGACCCCAGCCCCCGGGAGGCATTTTCTTTATACATACTAGCTTCTCTCATGGTCAGAAAATGCCTTCCAGCATATTTCCTCCCATTCACTCTGCCTGGGACAGTGCTCGCCTTGGAGCCGGGCGGGGTGTGTGGTCACCTTCCCCGAAGACAGGCTGGAATGAGGAGTTTGTTTGCTGGGGCTGCCATCACAAAGTACCGAAGACTGGGTGGCAGAAACAACAAACCTTTATTTTCTCACAGTTCTGGACAGTAGCAGTCTGAGGTCAAGGTGTCAGTCAGCCTGGTTGATTTCTCTGTGGCTTCTCTCGGCTTGCAGATGGCTGTCCTCTCTCCGTGTCTTCATGGCCTTCCCTCTGTGTGCATCTGTGTCCTCACCTCTCCACCACTCACATTAGCTGTGGGCCCACCCTGATGGCCTCACTCTACATCTCTAAAGGCCCTTTCTCCAAGTACAGCCACATTCTGAGGTCCTGGGGTCAGGACTTCAACATAGGAATTTGGGGTGGGACACAGTTTAGCCCATAACAGGGAGGAAAGGGGGTCTGAGTAAAACAGGCTTCTTTTTTGGAAGGTAGGAAGGGGAAATAGATCCTGGATGGGGAACCAACAGCATCCGTGATTTGGGGAAAGACAGAAAACACCAGGTAAAGAGACACATTCATTCCAGATAGTGAGAAGTGTTTTTACAGGAAATGAAACAGGGTAAGGTGATCGGGGGGCTGCAGAGGGGAGAGTGGCATTGGCAAGGGGGCGGGGACGGCCTGAGAAGGGGACCTTTGAGCCACCCAAGTGAGGAGCCCAGCAAGGTGGAAACGAGCTGGGCGGAGTCAAGGGGCAGAAAGGAGGCTGGTGTGTGGAGCATCCTCAGTGTGGGCCAGGCGGACGCTCTGCAGACACATCTGTCCCATGGGCAGACTCCAGCCCTGGAGTGAGAGACACCCAGCTGTCAGGGCCTGCCACCAGCCCACCTGGCACTCCTTGCTGGCTGACGGCAGAGTGAAGGCACGGTGCCTGCAGGACTCAG